GCATACTGACATAGGCCTACATATACTGTAAATGCCGTGGCGCTTATAAACTTTTCGGAGGCTTGCTTGTTTGTTCCACACACATGAACATACATAACAAAAAGCCTAATAGTGAAACGAACTAAATAATAATAATACATTACAGAATAAGTGTGTGGAAGGAGGCCAAAATAAATTTAGAATAGAACTTAAGCCATGGCCACCAGTTAAAATTATATATTTAAAAAAATGAAAGAAATGCGGCGCTTAATATATTGGCGTGGCGCTTTCCATTCCGGTTTCCATATTACCTATTTCACGTATTCCTTTCTCAAAGTGTTTCATTACACCATGGAGGTATTATTCAATAATATCTCCATGATTACACACAGGGTAATACTCTCGATTAATCGCCGCGGCGCTTATTCGAGAGCGGCGCTTAACTTTAAAAAAAATCACGTTTGGTGCTGCGCTTATTCTAGAGCGGCGCTTATTCGAGCATTTGGCGGTATATATATAATATAGGCCTAATATGCATATCCACACAAAAGGAGATTATTAAGTCGTATGTAGTCGATTTTCCCATTGATGATGCCGTTGATATTGAATGTCATTTAGAAATATAAGCTGTGGTTTATCAATTGTTGGAAGCTGATTAAAAAATTCGTTGTCCAATGAAAGTCGTCCCATTGACCGATACAAGTCATGTGATTTGGCTGAATCTGGTATTAGAGAAGATGCCAAGTTATTAAAACGCGAATCTTTTGCTGGATCCAATACCACTTTGTTAGAGCCTCCATTTTGTGTTACAATATTGTTTGAGGTTCTTTGGAATTTTGGTTTCTTTTCTGTCTTCTTCAAATCCATAAGTTGTTTTACTATCGATTTCGTCGTTCGTGATTCAGTTCGGCACTTTAATATCCTTGAATCCGTTTCGGATTCACTCGGGTGTTGTGTTCTAATACTTTTCGGAACATCTTGGCGAATAATTTTCTGTTTTAAAATATTGTTGGTAAGAATCTGGTGTTTTGATGTTATTGATGGATTATTAACCTTCGATGAGCTCTGATTGGCAAATGTATCTTTATCAGATGTATTATGATCCGTATTTGATGTTAATCTATCAAAATTTGTAGTTGCCCGACAGTCTGTGAGTGAACCTCGGTTTTGAGGAACACGTTCTTGTATATTATAAACTCTTTCTTTTGCAGTCGCTTTAATAACCGAGTTACTTTCATTCGGTAATAGGTTTTTCCGCGTTGGCTGCCGTAAGTTAAACTTAACTGATCTTTGCTCTTCCGAAGAATTGTATTTTTTGACAGGTTTCAACGTAGATGTTGTGGTCGTATCGTCACCGAAGCCTCCTTGACCATCTCGCAACTGCAGGCTTGCATTTCCTGCAATGAAGCGATTTACTTCAGTTATAGTACGATCAACTGGCATTTTCTTGTTACAATTTAATGGGTACATGTAGTGGGGACCTGATTTCTTACCCCCTCCTTCGTTGTCGTTTTCCGTTTGGTTTTTTGTTGAGTAGTTATTTTGACACTGTTCGTGATCCTCTAGTAGTTTCGTTAGTTGTCGCTGTGCAAAACCTCGCTTCTTCTGAACAAAATGTTTGCGTTTCTGCTCCTTAATTTCATCTATTCCGTCGTGATTCCTAGATAGCCGCCTACTTTCATAATCATTAGGACCTAAAATGCATTTTCCAACAGCACTACTTCCAGTATTCTTCGCAGTCGTTACACCTTTGTTCCGATCTAAAATCATTCTCCTTGACGTAGGCTTTGCTTTTCTTAAATTCGCCTGTCTTACATCAGATCCCAAATCTTGTTTACTTGTGATGCGTAATGTTACATTACCAATTTTAGACAGCCTTAATTTCTTTGCGATTGCAATCGCTGTCTGTTTGTTTACGTACTTCACTTTTGGTTCGTATGTGGGTCGTCTTAATGTTGACGGTTTTTTAATTTTAGTACTCTGGCTGAGAAATGAAGAAACATCCATAATGTTCAAGAAACAGCATTTACTCGGAGATTATTTGAGCCCGGCTGTACTTGGATGTCTAACGCCTTAACAACTGATTACTGAAATTAAAAACAATTGTAAATGTTTTATTCCATTCAGCAATTTACACCTAACTTTTACGAGCATAATTAGGCAGCCTAAACAGTGTCGAAGATAGCATACACTACACGTCGGCGAACTAAGATTTTCAGATACAGCGACGAGAACTGAAGCGGTTAAATTTTCTCTATCTCTTAAGGAAGATATCATAAAATTCAATTCTAAGAAAGATCGTTAGCTTTTCACATGTATGTTTCCTTATGTCATGATACTTTGACCTGTGTTATTACTACCAATACCATCACATGGATCTAGGAGGTCGCGTTGCTTAGTAACGAATAATAGGCAGAGGACTTTACGAGATGTAACTTCGGGCAGGTGTCAGTTGATTGTAGACGGTAAATAATGCAACATTATACTGTTACATTACTTCTAGGCCTACAAATCACCTTTCTATCGACTAATGTACATATTATATATATATATATATATATATATATATATATATATAATAAATCATCAAAGAAAGGTAAATACAGTGTTTAATAAAGGACATTAATACAT